AAAGTGTGAACTTAACAATAAAGTCTACATTACAAGTAGAACTTAAAACTGTAGATTATTAAGGGGACACTTGTTGGATGGCTGTTAAATGAATGAGCCCTAGTATAGCTCTGTAGGGCGCTCTGGTAGCGCAGTGGATATGAATCAGGCTGTGAACCGCAAGGTAAGCAGTGCGAAACTACCAGCTTGTTCCATGGGAGAAAGATGAGGCTTTCTTTCTGTTCCTGTAAAGATTTTCAGCCTTGTAAATCCTGTACAGGGTCACTATGAGTTGGTTCCAACTCCACGGCACATAACCACCACCACCAGTGTAGCTCTGTAGGATAAACTCTGGACTGGTAACCACAAAGTCGGCAGTTCAAACCACCAGCTGCTCTGGGAAACCCTATACAGTGTTGCTACGAGTTGGAGCCAATTCGGTGGCACACAATAGCAATTAAATGACTACAGCATGCTAACTGATCATGAACAAGAAACTACTGACAAACCTACTGATACAAGGTACAGACACTTGTAACAGTAATACAATGGACCAACATTTGTCCAAAACACTAATAGATCAACAGTTGTGAAGTGCTGTCGAGTTAGTTCCGACCCTGTATAGGGTTTACTAGGAGGGGCTGGTGAGTTTGAACTGCCAATCTTGCAGTTCAAACTGACTGTGGAGTCCATACATGATCCCACAGAGCCACACCAAGCTAACCACCCTGAAAAAGCACAAATAAGTCATGTAGCAGGTTCTTGGACATACTATAGGCTTAATGATAATAATTAAGCAGGAGAGAATTTGAAAAAGCATCCAATTGTAAAAATGCTAAAACCAAAGACAAAATTAATGTTACTGTCCTCCTATCTTGTATCAGGATGTAAACATTATAAGTAAGAACAAATAAAGGTTATCCTTGCTATCTGAACTAAGAGTGAAACAGATTCAGATACATTTTTAGAGAAATCCTTTGCAAATCTTACCTCTTCTATTTGCTATCATAGTAAACAAAGAAACAAATTTGGGTAGCATCATGTCCATTTCTTACCATCTCAGCTCTTTACTTGAATTGTCACTATCCTGACTCAGGTATGTAGCTGATTTGCATTGTTGTTGTTAAGTGCTATTGTTGTTGTTATGGGTCATTGTTGTTGTTATGTGCCATTGAGTTGGCTCTGGCTCATAGTGATCTTGTGTACAGTTTCTGAGGAGTAGCTGGTGGGTTTAAACCACTGACCTTGCGGTTTGCAGTCCAGTGTTTATCCTACAGCACCACATCAGGATTCCTTGATTTGGATAATGAGAAATAATTGTGTTGCAAATTTATCAAATTAAAACTTATCATATGATAATTCAAACAGGATTCTCTTGTATTGGTCACAGTTTGCTATTCTAAAGTAGAATGAAAGTTATTCCTTCAAAAATAATGGCAAATGATTGAAAAATAAGGAATAAGTAAAAAAATAAAACATATATGCTGATATTTACTGTACGAAGAGTAGTGTCCAAAGATTTCAGGCTAGGTTGATAAAAGAAAAATGGTGCCAGAAAACAAGTTACTACTTATCTAGTTCAGTTATTGCAGATAAATAAGCAGAATGCTTCAGGAGCCTTAAAACATTATTCTTTTCAACAGTAATTTTATAGAACATTTGAATGTGCCACTTTAATAGGCTGACCAAAAACTAGGATTTAATTGTAAAAAAAGAATCACTTATCTAGCAAAATAAGAGCTTTTATTAATAGTCAGTACAGTGCCCTCTATGTTCCGAAAGTAAATTCTACAATGGCCCACAACTGTGGCTATTCTGCTCAGAATAGTTTCACTGAGAATGTACCCCAAGTGCCTAAATGGGCCTGGTACAAATAACAGTTAACTTTGTGAAATAAATTGCTAATAAAAATGTTTGTTTGGATTTCCATCATTTATGGAAAACAAGTAAATTTTCATTATCAATAAATTATACCCATTATATGTATATGGGGGAGTCCTGGTGTGGTGATGTGGGATAAAGCACTAGACCAC